CTCTTAGCGCAGTTCCACCGCACGTTTCTCCTCCCCGGCCCCTCTGCATCTCTCTCCTTTTATTCCCCTTCTCCACTCCCAGCACCCCCTGTGTTACCCGCCCCCTCTACTCCCAGTCTGTCCCCGCCCCAGGTGATAAGCCCGGACGCCGTCTGGGCGTTCCGGGCGTGGTTGCCAGTGTGCCGGCGGTGGTCCTGTCAGCCCAGGGGCTGCGCCGCTTGGGCTTCTCGCCGTGTCTACCCTGAGCTCTCCCTCCGTGACGCCCGCCACACTGCTCACTGGGGCGAGGTTCCGGGGTGCACGCTCCAGGGGCCGTGCTCTGCCGCCGCTACTGCAACCCTCTGGGTCGCCAAAGGTTGGCTCTCCAGGGGCTTCCCGCGCTGAGGAGCCAGGCCATCATGGCTCCACTGGTTGCCATGGCGTCGTGGTTGCTCTGCTCCTCTGCTGGTTCCTGGGTGAGTCGGGCGGTTGGGGCATCTCTGGGGGGTGCGGTCTACGTCCCGCGGCCACCGGACCGGGACGGCGTGATAGTGTCAATGGGGTCAATAAAGTCAATGGAGGCAGTGCCTCTCAATGGTGCCTTTAGCGCTATAGCGTTCATATTAGAACGTATGAAAGAAAGGGGGGGAAGTCCAAGGAAGATTGTGCAGCAAATAAGGGGGGGGGGAGTGGCACTGTTTGAAATTACCATAGCACTTCAGAGATGGCTCATTAACAGAAGGAAATTCGCTGTATGAAACCCCCGCCCCCGTATCACTTTACTCGAAATCGGGCCAACAACAAATAACATCCAGTTTAGAAAGGTAATGTGAAAAGGGCCTATGGGTTAATCTTGGATTAGAATCCAGAAACCAGTCCCAGCATGCTAAGAGACCAGCAAACTGGGGTTAGATCAGAGTCCTCCTGAGAGTCCTTAATTGGTCCTTGTACACAAGGTGAGGAGACTTGGTACGTGCAAGCCCCGGAACAAATCCGGTTTCATGCCATTGGCGGTGGTGTGCTTGTGCTGTCAGAACAGACCACAGTGCTGAGATGGGCCATTCTGTTCCCGGACTCAGACTGGGGAGGCCCAGGTACAAGTCTGCACTTGGCCATGAAGCTCCCTGGGTGACCCTGGGCCAGGCTTTCTCTCTCATCCTGAACTACTTCACAAGGTTGTTGTGACGATAAAATAGCAGAGGGGAGAATTGAACGTGTTGCCAAGCTCCTTGGAAGAAAAATAGGATAAGAACATACTAGATAATTTAAAGGAGTACTTACTGTATACTTGTTAACGTGTCTAACAGAAAACAGAGTCTTCTTTTTGCTGACTTTGGTTACTTTCTCTTTAGTTCAGCTTTTCTTCCCTCCCTCTGTTATGCTCTGCAGAATTAAGTAAAGGTAAAGGTCCCCTTGCTTGAAAGCCAGTCGAATCCAACTCTAGGGTTGTGGTGCTCATCTCCGTTTCAAAGCCGAAGAGCCAGCGGTGTCTGAAGACATTTCCGTGGTCATGTGGCCGGCATGACTAGACACCAAGGCGCACGGAACGCTGTTACCTTCCCACTGAAGTGGTACCTATTTATCTACTTGCAGTTTCTTGCTTTCGAACTGCTAGGTTGGCAGGAGCTGGAACTAGAGACGGGAGCTCGCTCCGTCATGCGGCACACTCGGGTCTCGAACTGCTGAACTACCGACCTTCCACAGCCTGCAGTTCAGCGTCTTAACCACTTGAGCCACCGCAGGTCCTATCTTCTGCAGAATTAGAATGGGACAATTAAGAGGAGGATGATATGCTTTCTGAAGAATCTGTAAAATACTCCCTTAAAAAAACAAACTACAACCCAGTCCTTCACATTATATAGCATTGAGGTGGGTAGCCATGTTGGGCTGAAGCAATAGAACAAAGTTTGGATCCAGTGGCACCTTTAAAACCACACTGTCCATGCACATGAAAGCTTATACCCAGAATTAAACTAAGCTGGTCTCAAAGGTGCCACTGGACTCAACCATGAGATAGCAGTTTGTTTCGCAGGTCATACAATGTGGCACAACTGGACTAAAGCTGGTCCTGATCAGTGATCCCTTTATGCTGAGTTAGTGTGAGTCAGCTCACAGTTTTTTAGCCTCCGGCTCACACATTTTTGTCTTGGCTCAGGAAGGATGGCTCCAGTGCAAACTAATCTGTACAGTAGCCAAATGGCTCGCTCACAACTTTAATTCCAGGAGCTCACAAAGTAGAATTTTTGCTCACAAGACTCCACAGCTTAGAGGGAGCACTGGTTCCCTCTAAGCTGAGTCAGTGTGAGCTAGCTCACAGTTTTTTAGCCTGCGGCTCACCCATTTTTGTCTCAGCTCAGGACAGAGGGCTCCAGAGCAAACAAATTCTATGCAGCAGCCAAATCACCTGCTCACAACTTTAATGTCAGTAGCTCTCAAAGTAGAATTTTTGCTCACAAGACTCCACAGCTTAGAAGGGAGCATTGGTCATGGTACCTACATGTCTGAGGCAATCCTGGAACAGCACATACAGACTCAGAGACTCCAACTCCAAATTCCTCAGTTCAGGATCTGGAGATTTCTATCAGGTAGCTGGTTTTCAGCTACAGGCTGTGACAAATGAAGATCACGTTGCCAATGAAATCGGCTGCATAGGTGTAATATGATCAGCTGACGTGACAGACAGCTCCTTTTATGACCAGCATTCCGTGTTGTCCCAATCCCAGTAATTTCTGGAGGTGAAAGAAAATAATGTTCAAACAGCGAAGTATAATTTTTTCCCCCTTGAGCACAGAGTTTGCCACTTTGTTATCAGAGTTTATGGTTCAGACGGGGCTGCCAGGTAAGCAGGTGTGGCCTGGGGATCTCCTGGAATTACAAGTGTTCTCCATTTGACAGAGATCAGTTCCCCTGGAGAAAATGGATGCTCTGGCGGGTGGACTCTATGGCATTGTACCCCACTGAGGTCCCTGCCCTCCCCAGGCTCCACGCCCGTATCAACTTACCTGGCTGCTTCTTGCTCTGACTGAGGGCTGCTGGGAGCAGGGGGTGGGGCTTGTTGCATGTGCCCGCCCCCTGGGCTCTTTACTGCCGGAGCTCCGCTCCTGTGCGCTCCTGCAGGAAATGACCCCTGGCCAGAAGTAAGCTGTAAGTCTTTGGGGGCAGAGCTAGAGTCAGGGGACTGGAATGGCGAGGCACCTGACTAAAAACTGCTGGGCCATCCTAGTGCCTGGTGGCAGCAGAGGGCAGAGAGGACAAGAGAACTCCTGGAGGGCCTCAGAGCGGCAAGAGTCCCACGTCACTGCCGCTTGCCTCCAACGAACCATGAAGGGCCTCTGGATCCATCACTCACTTCCCTGGTAGGAGCAGTACTAGAAGGACAGGAGCTCTGATTCTTTCCTGCCCCTTTAAGATCTGCCGACGTCGTTTGTTGGGGCTCCGAGGAGTGTAAGAAAATTGCATGCCACTTCGTGCCATGTATGTAACCAAAGGGGCAGGGGTGGGTTAGGAGAGAAGAGAGCTGTGATAAAGAGGAAGGGGAGACGCAAGCTAGGAAGGGGAAGCCCACCTTTTGCCCCCCAAGGACCCATAAAAACCTGAAGCCAACTGTGTTTGGGATCGAAGATCTGACCTACTACAAGCTGCGGTTGGCTGTCTCTGGTTTGGATCTCCAAAGTGCAGAAAATAGAAAGGGTGGCTTTCTTCTTCTTCTTCTTGATGCTGTGAACAGAGAAGGATCCAAAGCAGTCCTTAAACTGGCAATCACATTGGGTTGGCACAAACCTCGATTGATGCCATCCTTCTGTATGTGAGTCCGTGCCCCTTCTGGTCTGCTTCTCCGTTGGGCTAATGCAGGCCTTTATGGTAATAGGCAGTCAAGACTATTGAAGGCAGATGGCCTGACTGTGTTCAGAGTGTAATAATTCCGATTTCTCACGTTTTAATGCAAATAAATATATCCCCGCACACTGAAAGCTAGCATGTCAGGGAAAAGGAATGGAGCCTAGCCTCATGTTCTACATGCAAAAATGTTAATCTTATTAATGGAGGCGCATTCAGGTGGATGGGAGCAGTCTGAAGTAGTACAGTCCAGATGCAGTTTTACCACCACTGCAAGAGAAGTGAGCCTGACTGTTTCACTCTGTTCCTGGGATGTTCATTCTCTGTGCCGGCATTTTAGAGGCCACGTTCTTGCCGCTTTCTCCTTCAACAGACAGTGGAACAATGCTACACGTTTTAGATTCATCCTCTCTGGCAGGACATAAAATGGGCCGTCCACAGTCCAGTTGTTATGGCAATTGCTGCATGCTTGTAACTTGGCACTTAATGACTAGGAGGAAATATATACACACACACACACACTCCGTAGGTTTCAGATCATGTTAGACACTGTTATTTCAGCTTGGCTATCCCCTTACTTCTGTATCCTCTGACTGTGTTATGTACAAAGATTATTCTCTGGCTGACTGGCATGCTGTGTTCTAGGGTGGGATTGAGCCACGGTGGCTGAATGGAGCCTCCAGGTTCAGAGGCAGTGCACCTCTGAAAACCAGCTGTTGGGGGAGGCAAACACCAGGCAGGGAGGGCTGTAGCCTTCATATGCTGTTTGTGGATTTTCCAGAAGCATCTGGCTGGGCACTCTGGGAAACAGGATGCTGGCGACCCTGGGGAATAATCCTGAATTGTTTCTTTTGTTAATATTTCTATTTATAAAAACAATATTTGGCTTTTCACCATTATAATTATCCCACTATTTTTTTTAATTAAACCATAATGCGTGTTTTGGGATCTGCTGTGCATAACTGTGTTCCCCCCTCCGCAGAAAGTGTTAAATGTATTAATTTTTGCCTCGGCTTATCTTCCGTTATCCTTCCTCCCCTTTCGCGCAGCAAGGGAATTCTCTGATGGAGACCGACGGTGGAATCCTGAGGCACGCATTGAAACAAAGTTGTTTTTCCTGGTGAACTTTCCCGAGCAAGCGCACATCCCCTGAGCTCCGGCTGACGCGGAGAACCTCCTTCCAAAATGGCGTTTCGCAGAACTGAGGGAATGTCTATTATCCAGGCTCTGGCCATGACGGTAGCGGAGATACCCGTGTTTCTCTACACTACATTTGGTCAGGTAAAAAGTACTTTATGGAACGGTAACTGGCATTTATCGTCATCAACCATAGCCTTTGTTTTAAAGGGCCTAACTAAATGTTATCATGTGATCTTGTAATCCTTCCACCAACCCTGTAAGGTAGACATTGTCTCCATAGTGCAGTTGGGCGAACTGGAGCTGAGAGGGGCTGGGTTACTGCCTAGGGAAGTTGTGGCAGCGGTGAAGTTTGGACCAGGGACTTGGAGCTCAGCGACCTTATTACATCAGCTCATTCTCATAGTGCTTCCCCAGGATCAGAGCACTGCTTGTGGGCCTCTAAAAAAATAGTGGATTGGATCTTGTGGATCCCATCTGCTAGCACAGGAGCCTCCTCCTGATGCGAGGTACTCAGGCTCCTGCTGGAAGGAAGCACTTCCGCTCGTGTAACAGATCTGTGGGATCCAATCCAGTACATTGTACGGAATGCAGTTCTGATTCCTTGGCTGTGCGAAACTCCTTGGAGGTTAAAACCAGAACTTATGAGAGGGAAGGCCTGTGGAGCCCCACAACTTGGTTTCTCCCAGCCTGGACTCCCCTCCCCTCCCCTCCCCTCCCTAGGAAATGAGAAAGGAAGCCCCATCTGCGTAATGTTTTGGTGTTGTAAACCCTCGAATGCTTCCCGGATCTGGATGGGCCAAGCTAGCAGCCAGGTCTCATCAGATCTCAGAAACTAAGCAGGGTCGGCCCTGGTTAGTATTTGGATGGGAGCAGGGGTCCTTTCGTAGAAAAAGAGCTAGGGGAACTCATTAGCATAACTCATTAGCATATGCCACACCCCCTGACATCACCGGAAGTGTGTCATACGGCCACACACCCCACCCCCAACGGTCCCGGCCGCTGCCGGCCTTGCAGCTCCACTGCCGAGCCCCATGAGGGGCCCGGCGGTGGACCTGCAAGGCCAGCGGGAGTGCAAGGAAGCCCCGCGAAGGCCCTCCCTGGTC